GGAGGAGTGCTACTCCGGCGCCGGAGCGATCAGATAAGAAGAGTTCAGAATCGAAACCTGTCAAGACAGGTCCTGCCCGGTTCAAAAGGGAGTCTTCCCAAGTGCCTGATGGAGGATGGTTCCGGGATAGCACCAGGGGCGGAGGGCGTGGACCTCCGAGTTCCCCATCAGATTCCAGCTCGGACGACTCGGAAAGCTCTAGCTCGAGTTCAGATAGTACTAGTTCATCAGGATACAATAGCGATAGCTCGTCCGCCTCGGACAAATCGCAGAAAGGCAAATCGTCGGCGGAGAAAAGGCACCGCAAGAAGCAGAAGCATCGGACTAAGCGTCTAAAAAGGGCTCTTGCAGGCGTGAAAATCAAGCACCCATTTACCTGGCCTGGAACTCCGGATCTGGATCTCTTTGATCAATGGATTTATGAGGTAGATACATATTGTGAAATACACGGTCTCGATGATGAGCTCGCGCTCAAAATCGTGGTACAATTCCTGTCGGAAGAAGCGAGCAAATTCTTTATGAAACATGTAGCTACCTGCCGCGACGAATGGACATTGAAGGGGTTGTACGAAGCCCTCTTTGACTATTGCTTCCCTACCGATTACAAGGCGCGACTCCGGAATCGACTCGAGCGGAGCGTGCAGGGCAAAAATAAACTACGAGATTTTGTACGAGAAATACAAAATCTGGCCGCCCGATTCCCCGACGTCACTGATCTCCAACTGGTGCAAATATTCTGGCGTGGCATCCATCAGCATATTCGCGTATACCTGATAGAAAAAGGACTGAACCCGGAACGAACCTCGCTTGACAAGCTAGTCAAATATGCTGTCCGTCGCGAGGAAGCATACATGGAGGCACGTCGAGAGGAACGAGCTTTCGAAGGACAAGTTCCCGGCCGAGGTTGGGGCCGTTTCGCGAACAGGACTACGGGTCCGGAACCCTATCAGCCTAAGCGCGAGGATAGGAGCTGGAAGCAACAGGGAGGGTCTAAAGTCAGTCAGGACAGACCACAGCGAAATCATCGAGATGCTAAAGACCAGAAAAAGAATCATCCGAATCCCATGAGCAAAGCTGAGCGCGATCGTCTGCGAGCGGAGGGACGCTGTTTCACCTGTGGAGAAGCCGGTCATGAAAGCCGGAACTGCAAAACCCGGAAAACCGCCCGGGCTCCAACTGTAGGCGTTGGAGCGAGCTCTATTCGATTTGCGAATATTGAACGACTTGCCGAGCGAGCGCGTGAAGCTGACGGGGGTGTCAGAGTTGCCGCAGTGAACGTAGATCTCAAGCAGCCGGGTGCCGTCCCGTCAGACACATCCTCCTTTGAGGATGTGTGGGCGCGTGCACATACGGCGGATTGCTTCGAGTATTTACTGACACTGCTGGTAAGCTATTACGATCCTAAGGAAGCTCGTGAGATGGACATGGAACCGGAGGAACGGTTTACCATTACTACAGATAACGGCAGGATTCAGGATGACAGATTTGTCATTATAGACCACTTAGCTGCGCCGGAAAGCCCGGACGAATTCGTGGTAACCCGCACGAACCTGGATGACCCGAACTGGGGCATTGAAGACATGCTGCAACTAGCCTGGGATGAGTACGCCGCCCTGCCCCCTCGTGCTCAATGGGGATCGGGTTTTCCAGCACGCGGGGTGCCAGACAAGCGGTGTCCCGCGATATTTTGGCTCCGGGCCCGTCTCACGATGACCCTTAAGGTGAAATACTCGCACCTGTGGGAACAGGGAGTATCAGTACGTGTGAAATCATGCGACAATGCTTACCACATTGGCTGGCAGTCGGGAGACCGATATCTCGTCGTCCACCAAGACGAGGTTCGTAATCCCATGTTTCAGGCAGAGTCAGTCCTGCAAAACCTCGTAGATATAGAGGAGGCAAGGGGACGCACGGAACTAGGTAGTGCTTGTCGAAGTAGGAGGGAACGCATTATGGTATGCGCAGCCCAGACGGGTTCAAAACCTGCTAAGAAAAGGAGAACCCCCAGTCAGCCTTCAAACTGGATACCGGCAGTGGAGCGCAATGCTATGAAGCCGAAAGACTTCACACGTCAGCTCCCTAAGCCTATTGTAGTAACCGTATATGTCAACGACAAACCTGTACGTGCATTGGTGGATACGGGTTCCATGGCGGATTTCATATCGACAACCGTAGTTGATCAGCTCGGACTACACAAGGAGATATTAGCCAAACCGTTACCTGTCCAGCTTGCAGTACATGGCTCCCGATCGAAGATAAACTGCGGTACCACAGTTGATTTCAAGTATCAGGGAATCGACTGTAAGCGGCGGTTCGATGTCGTCAACCTAGACAATTATGACATGATTTTGGGCACACCTTTTCTCTTTCAGCATAAAGTTGCGATTGGCCTCAATCCGACCAGAATTTCAGTGGGCACGATGGATCCTGTAGATATCTCTGGAGAAGAGGTCGCCGTGATAACGTCAGCAGCAGCAGACTTACTCGAGGATGAGCTTGAGAAACTTCGGACCGAATTGAAACGCGATGCGGCGGATCTGTGTCAGGACGGCGCACGTGCTGCGCTGCCTCCGCTGCGGGACGTCAATCATGCTATCCCACTGATAGATGAAACGAAAGTGTATTCCTGGCGTCCTTCTAAGTGTCCAGATGCACTGAGACCGCTGTGGCACGAGAAGAAAAAGGCATACCTAGACTCGGGAAGGTGGCAGATGGCCGCAGGAACAAATGCATCACCCATGCTTATGATTCCGAAACCTCCACGAGAGGATGGTGTTTTGAGGTTGCGAACTGTAGTAGATAAGCGTCAACAAAACGCGAATACACAGAAGCTCACCGCACCACTTCCCGACATAGATAGCATCCTGCGAAATGTCGTTAAGCATAAGTACCGTTCCCTGATAGACGGGAAAGACGCTTACGAGCAGATTCGAGTCATTCCTGAGCATGTCCCGCGTACGCTTTTTACCACACCGGATGGGACGATGGTTAGCCTGGTATTGCAACAGGGAGACATTAACGGTCCGGCGACTTACCAAGCCGTAATGAATCACATCTTTGCACAGTACATCGGCGTGTTCATGGACGTATATTTGGATGATATTGTCATCTATTCGAACACTATTGAAGATCATATGGAGCACGTACGAAAAGTTTTCGATGTCCTGAGACGCGAGAAATTTTTTCTTGGCGCCGACAAGATGAATTTTTTTGCATCGAAGCTGAAGATCCTGGGACATGTTGTAGATGGCAAAGGGATTGCTATGGACCCTCATAAGGTCAATTCCGTGGTAAACTGGAAGGTACCTACGAATAAGAGTCTTTTGAGCAGTTTTCTCGGTGCGGTCGGATTTCTCGCACCAGATTGCGAAGGCATCCGCATCCCTATGGGTGTTCTGGCTCCGATGACGAGCGCGGCGAAACCCTGGAACTGGACAGACACTCATCAGCGTGCATTTGATCAGGTCAGGGAAACAGTACACAAGTGGCGGAATGGTCGGAGAGTCGCGCTAGACTACTCTGACGGTGCTCCTGCTATCAATCTGGTGACAGATGCTTCTCTCACAGGAGCAAGCGGATATGTTAGCCAAGGCAATGACCTAGCGACAGCGAAGGTGATTACCTTCTGGTCAGGAAAATTCAACTCCGCGCAACAAAATTATCCCGTACACGAACAAGAGCTACTTGCGATAGTCGAATCCTTGAAGCGATTCCGGCCTCTTCTTTACGGCACGAGGTTTCGTATTTGCACCGACCACAAAGCCCTGGAATTTCTCATGGGGCAAAAGAATTTGTCCCCGAGGCAACATAGGTGGCTGGATGTATTGAATGAGTTCAGCTTCACTATACATTACATTCCTGGCGAAACGAACGTACTCGCGGACGCGCTGTCCCGTATGTACAGTGATGAGCCGCTGGGAATTGAACGAGCGAGTTCGGAATACGTCGGAGATGATGGGGCAGGAATCCCCATCATGGCTCAGGGTCTTGAAGTCCTACGACCGGTATATACGGGAGCGGCCG